TTCTAACCAGCACCTTGTATTTTTTAACATTTCCTTTTCCTTTTTTACATCACCCTACCTGTTTTTGGAATTACCATAGAAGATGTGCATGCGAGAAGATTTGTTTCCGAAAGAGTTAGACAATTTTTAAATATTTACGAGTTTTTTTTTCAAGAGAAGAAATTTGTAAATGAACAGCAACGTCAGCCACGAAATGTTTCTAAAACCATCTTGTCTTCCGCTTTTAGAGAATATTAGGTCACTCCGAAAGTAATTTCGCTTTTTTCAAACGCCACATGTGATGGAACAAAGATTTCTAAGAGATCTTGGACGCATTCGATGCAGAATTTCGTCCTCTTTCTAACTATTGTAAAATTATTGCAGCATAGTCAATGAGCTTCCAGAAAGTAACTAAAATCTGCGACGCATGCTTTTTGGGATAGTCAAGTTTTTTTCTAAACATTCATATCAATCCTCAGAAGGAGTTCAAGTAACGATTTGATAGAGCAAACCTTATAGAATACAGTGCTACTTTTTTCTCTTCCTCGTAGCTCGCCGTAATATTTTTAAAAAAATTTTAACAGAACTATCGGATTTTGGCAGGCCCACCTCAGCCACAATCGCATCAAACATCATAATTTTTCGGAATTTGAGACTACCAAGATGGTACTATGAGTTAGTATTAATTTCACAAAGCAAGTGAGGGTTTAAGCGTTCGAAATATCAAATTTCGACTTTTTGGGCACAGCCTAGGGCTCGTTAAAGAAATGAGTTACGATGATTTCTCCCCAGAAACTAAATGAATCGGAAACAAAAAACACCTGTTAGAAAGAGGACAAAATGCTGCATCGAACAGTGCGCGAGCTGCTTTTCTTTTGACATTCGACGATGATTTAGCTGCTCAAGTACGGATATACGGATAACGGTAGCATCGGTTAAAATTCTGTTAAAAATGTACGACAAGCTGTGGAAAGGAGAAAAAGGAAGTACTGTATCCTATAAGGTTCACTCTATCGAATCGCTACTCAAACTCCTTCTGACGATTGACATAAAAGTTTAAAAAATCGTGAAACCTGACCACCTCAGAAAGCATGGGTCGCAGATTTTGGTTATTTTCTGAAAGCTCATTGACTATGCTGCAGCTGTTTCATAACCTTTAGAAAGAGAATGAAATGCTGAATCGAATGCGTCCACTCTTAGAAACCTTTGTTCCATCAAATGTGGGGCCCGTTTGAAAAAAGCGAAATTACTTTCGGAATGACCTAATATATAGTTTGCCGGAGTCTGTTGAAAAAGTGCCTGGTGAAAATGGGTAGTTATTTGTGGATATTTACGAGTTTTTAAGATAGAAAAACCCGTAACTTCTGGAGATGAACATCTTGTACGTTTAAGAGAGGAATTATGTGGATTGGGGGGGGGGGGAGTCCACACAAGTATGAGCAACGGCACACCACTTTATACCGTCTGGTGTAATGGTTTGTGTGGTGGTCTTGCTGGCAGTGGTCAACAGGTTCGGTTCCCTTTTCCCTCTTGGTATTCATTTTGCTGGTCTACAAAAAATCGGTAAGAGCATGGGCATCGCCTATACAACACCCCTTTCTTCTTTTGATTGCAAACTCTTCAAAAAAGTTTCATTACTCAGTGTGTTCAAAGGTCTATGCGCACTGGTGAAAAGATGACAAAATGCGCAAAACATAGGCAATCTTCACAATGAGAGCAACGAATAAAGACTATTTCTGAACAATCGAATGGTCTCCTATCAGATTGGAGGGGAAGCAACACTGTTCGGGCGTTTCAAAATTTCCTGGATATGCATTAACGTAGCTGCTGGCGTACCGGGACCAAGCCAAGAATGATGGTAAGTCAACGATAGGAATCTTATGATGGAATTGTGAGCAAAACAACATGATGCAGATCATGGATAAGACATTTCAACCTCCATTTCAAATCACTTGCGAAGACGTTCAAGAGCAGTGCCTTGGCATTCTGATAAAAGAAAGAAGAAGTGGTGTTTAGAGGGTGGCGGACTTTATGAACGATAGCGCGCGCTTAGGCAGGCGTGTGTCAATAAGGTGCGCGCTGTTAGCCTCGCCTATCGCAAGATGGACAAGTTCTTTGCAGTACAGCTCTAGCACTGGTTCATGGCCATGTTCCGTAGTCAAGTGAAAACAACTTCTGATAGTGAGCTATAAGCTTGTTGCAAGCTGGGATGAAGCTTGACTATATACAGAATCTTATTTTAATTTCTTTTTTCTTTTTTTTTGCCAGTCAATGAGCAGCAGATGTGTTAATCGTGAAATTCAAGAGATTTGCTAATTTACCTATGAATGACCGAGCCACTCCTGGAATGATATCCACGAAAGTCCATTTAAAAATGGGCTTTTCGCGAATGAAACGCGAATAAAATGGGCTTAGTCCCTGCGGTGCGATAAGATATCGCGTTCGCGAATCCATTCATTTCATACAAAAATGCTTAAGCAAACCTTTCTTCAACTTGCCTCAACCTGTTTACTCACTCTTGCAAACTCATTCCTACAAAGTGGTCGATATCTAGGCTAATCTAACTTTACTATATCAGTCACGTGGATACTCCATTCTTTTCCATTTCATTACACCTCATAGAATGCCATCTATTAACTATGACTATGCATCTAATTTAGTTTCAGTCCATCTAAAATCCAAGTAATATCTGGGCATTTGCTTTTCAATACTTCTATGAATCTGCATTGAATCAAATTCGTATGTGGAGTTTTCAGCAGAAAGCAAACTTTGGCTAGACTTGCATCGCAATTTGTAAATCAAAATGCTTTTCTCACAGAAAACCTTGCACTACACTACAACACAAAGGCTTTTATGCTGGAAAAACTTTGGATCTGCAAAAAATTGATGGCTTCTTATGCTGTACTTTAGCAACCCCAAAACTTTCATGCAATTATGGCGTTTGATATATAAAGCCGTTTTTCTTGCGTCAACTGTGTGAGTTTGAGGGATGGATACTAGAATGATGACAATGCCACTGAATTCAATTTTGAGTACTTATCTAAGCATATACTCTGATACCAAGCCATATGTGCTTTTGATAATCAAAGTTGCTTAGGGGAAGTGCTACGAACAACTGAAGCAAAGCGGACTTATATTCGTCTTGATCAGCACATAGGGAATGCTTGAACCAATGCCTTTTGCTATTGGCAACCTTATTATAGATTTTGAACAGAATTCAAATTAACCGGTTGTTGGAAAAGCTCTCGCATGATCCGTTACCAATCAGGTAACCTTTTTTCTCAACCCTAATGTGATGCTCTATATTCGAAAATAAAACAGAGTTCGCTTCAACGTTTTGGATATTGAAATTGTTTTCGGTGACAAAATGACGTAGAGAAGATTTCCTCTATAAAATGACTTGTTTAATTTTGGTAAACCGCGTTTTTTTCGATATTTACATACGAGAGCAATAAGTGACTAATGTATAGACTATAGCTAGTAAGAAATTTCTCACAGAATATTCTGACTTGCTAGCTACTTCAGTACTTCTTGCTACCAAACTCAAAATCGCGAATTTTGAATTGCCGTCTTTGTGTTTGTCTGTCTGTCTGTCTCAACTGTCTACGTAAAAAATTCTTTCTATGATTTTTAAAGCATTTCAAGGCTGTTTGGAAAAGATAGTTTTTTGGTCCTCCTAGAGAAGATAAAACTTTCTCCGTTCGCTTAGTATCTTAAAATGGGCTAGGGAACATATTCTCAAGAAATCGCGATCAAAAATATGCAAAAAGGTCAAAAGTGGGCTTAGTCCCAGCACATCTGGCTGCTGGGAGTAAAATGGACTTATCAGAAAGGTGTGAGATAATGAACATGGAGGTGAACTCCATTTCTCAGACATTCGCAGTTAAGTCCCGCCGGTGAAAAAGTTGTGTCCCGCCGGAATGACTGCGGGACACAAGTAAAATGGTTCGCGAGAAAACCGGGACTCCCGGTTTTCGTTCGGGATAATGCGGCGCGACTCCCGGTTTTGTCCCGACATGTTCTCTACTGAGACCTTCGGGAGTCCCGGTTTTCTCGCGATTCGGTCACCGGCGGGGCTCCCGCTCTAGACTGCAGTCTCCTGCGGGAGGCGCGATATAGCAGCGACCCGATCAGCTTCCGCCTGGGCTTTTCTTAGAATTGGTTCTCCTTCAAAAATTTACACTACACACATCTTACAAAGGTGCTGTGCTCGACACAGAGTTCAGAAAGACTCTTCATTAGCATTCGTGACCAAAAAAGAACATTGAAATTATCATGACTAAGTTAACAGAAAAAAACAGGAATGTCGAGATCAAGATTTGACATTGAATCCATTATTCAAATCGACTTCAGACTTTCGATGTCTTCGTCTTGCTCATGCTCTGGCTCATTCGTGTGCCCGTGCGCCAAAGAATCTTGCGTTGTAGCGGGGCAAAAACGTTTTTTCTGGAAAAGAATTACAATTCAACACTGATTTGAGAAATCATATATGAATATTACCGAGGGTGGCGACAGCATCTCCTTTTCAGCATCGAAATGGTAGGCGCGCAGGTCACCTCTGAACTTCAAATTCAATAGATTCATGAAGACTATCTTTAAAAGAAACCCACAAAGCTCTTCCTATAGCCACTCGTGCTAATCCACAAAGCTTCATCCTCGCCTCCGACAACCTGTCAAACATCTTCGTCCTCGCCTCATCGTCGTTCCCTAGGCCCAGCCAAAATCTAAATCAATGAGATATCAAGGGGTAGAAACACTTCTATCTATACCTATTTGATTGCCGCGCGCATTCGCTAGCACTCATCAGCAGTTCTTCTGCGTATAGGCCAACACCATCAAGAACGAAATCTGGAAGATCTATTTTAGAATTTTTAGAGAGACCATCAATTACTCACTTATCAAAAATGTGACGAGACTTTCGGGCAGGTCCTGCAGATGCGGAAATCTTCCCCTTTTACCGGATTGTCTGCACGCAAAATTTTGGATTTTGTTTTGGTTCGCATGCCTAAGTGCACCTCTCTTCAGTATAGACTCGAAATTTTAGCCTCACTTACATGCAAAAAATAGAACCTATAAAAATCCATCATTAACAAAAAATGGTCATTTTTGTGTGCCCTTGATGGCTGCGTCCAATTCTCAAATAACTCGACCATGTTAGCATTCTGAAACAAAATTAAGTGCTGCTGTATCGATAATAACTACTACAGGTAACCTTGAATGGAGGAAACCCGTTAAATTTCCACGACTTCGTGAAATTCTTTCGCTCAAATACATGTCCTGCCGGTAAAGTAAATTCGTTGCCTTTCGCTATGTGATATGAAGCTTTCCGTAACTGCTTTCCATGTTCTTGCTGATTGGAGAGAATTACGTCTACCTAAAGAACTGCATTTCACCCTCCGTTCTGGATCTACCTTACTTACAGTCAGACTTAGTCCAGCTATGATATTGCTTTGCTCTTCTATGATTCCAGCTAAAGTTCTCACGACTGAGTCTGATGATGGTCTCATTGAGTCGATTGCGTTTTGCATACTCTTGACTTGCTGCAGATTAATGGCATTCACTTCTTTCATCTTTGTCGCTAGCAGTTCCTGAACGACAAAAAACGCAATGGTTACTCGCATCGGTGTGTACCGTTACCTTATTTTCAAGATTCATTTCGAATTGGCGTACAAGTTTTCCTAATTTCACTAAAGACAAAGAATTTTCTCCTGTGATGCTGTTCACTGCCTCTAAAAACTTTTTAGGTGGTTCCTCTGTCCATATTAGAAAGTTGTGCCACAACCAACCCGAAAACGTATTCGTTACCGGCAGCGCATTTGCAGTCGAAGCAACAGAATTGCATGACTCATGAGAAATCTTACGGCGTTTCTCGTCGCTGCTACATTTTCGCTGTACATAAGCCCTCCTATCATTCAGATTTGTAGCAAGTTGCATGTCTTCTAAACTGCTACCATAATTATGAAGAGTATTTGGGAAAACCAACCATAGAAAGTCTGACTGCGTCTGTGAATGACATTGGTACTATCGTCGCTCAGAAAAGCGCCTTGATTTCTTCTCACCCTATTTTCCTTTCCATCAACTTGACGCTCATACTCCATATCCTGATCACCTGAAAACACGATTCCTCTGTAGTGTACTCTAGTAGCACATATATAACAGACCAGGTGCAGTATCCAGATCATAGTATTGCGGAGTGTAATCCTCGTCGTGAAAAGACATGCTGCGCTTACGGGTAAAATCTCCTGAATTTGCATAATGACAAATATTTCACATTAAAATGTGAAACAGCCAGAGTCCGCGATATAGTACGTTAATCATGATATGTAGGGAAAAGACCCCAGAGAAATACCGATAAATGGTTGAATCTTTTTATTCTGTAGACGTTAAATAAAGTAAAAGGAAACTGGCAAATGGCAACTATAGACTGCATCGATGAGTCGCTGGAATGGATACTCAATGCATAAGTACTTCTAGTATGACGTGTCACGAACCTTTGATGAAACCACAAGCCAATACTCGTGGCTCCAACGAGATCTGCACAGAACTCCGCCGTTCTCCCTTCGTCAATTCAACCTAAAGTAGAAGCCCAATTCAAGACTATCAAAAATATGAAGAGCCATATTTCCAACCTTGTGAAGTAGACCTCTTCTCGCATCGTCACTGTCACGAAGTGTGAAGATATGGATGGTACCCTGAAAACGCCGAATTTGTTACAACAAGGAGGTATACGTGCTACCTACTTTGTCGCTGGTTACGGCAAGAAAACTAGAGCAAGGGGAGAACTGCAGACAGTGCAAGGTGCAGGGATCAGCACCTCGCCGAAATTCCATGAGACATCGCGTCACGACAGAATTTTTGTCAAATATCCTTGAAGCGTCACATTAACAAACTTAGTTATACTACAAATATAAGCATGTTTCGAAGAAAGAGCAATCAAATTAGGAAGGGAAACTCAAGAGTAACTTGACTTCACTTCTTCCACTTACTGTATGACAAAAAGTGAAACAAATGGCAAAAGGACTGGACATTGACAAAATGGAGCAAACAAAAAGGGCGATACCTGATGACTGTGCCTTTAGTAGATCCCGTCGCCAAAAGCGTTGCTTGATTATTCAATGCTAATTGAGCAATTTCCGTTAAGTGAGCATCGAAACCAAAAAAAAAATCGAAAAAAACCGTTGAAATCGCAACCAATTGTGGCCAGACCGGTCGGGTTGCATCTGAAACAACAAAACTTACAAATAAAAACCAGCAAAAAACGAGATGTACCTTACTTCTTCTGTTCTAATCAGTTCACAGAGATTGGGAAATTGAAAGACATGTATCCGCTTCTCTTGCAGAACTATCAACTTAGAATATGCTAGCAGTACATTCACAATAGGACCTCCGGCCACTGTAATCTAGAACCAATAAGGAATTGAAATTATAGCTAAACACAACAAAAAAAACAAGTTGCCTCAAGGACAAGCTCTTGTTGTTTATGTTTATCATCCCAAACCATTACGGTAATTGAAGAATATTTTTGCATAATTTCCGCCTCCAACAAAAACAATGATGTTAGATCGATGATTGCATTATTGCACAGATTGCTAGAAAAGCATGGCAGATCGAGTATGTGTTGAAAAGTGGTGGATAGCAGAAGGCTTTCCAAATTCACAAGAATACTGCACCACAGGCTCTCTAAAAGTTTTTAATTTCTGAATTTTTGTCATCACCCCTTCTCCTTCCCCTTCGGTTAGTGCTTTTGATGAATGTCGATTCTAGTCCAGGGTAAAATCGATATTCATCAAAAGCACTAACCCAATGGGTTCCGGAACCCACTGGGTTCGTTGATGAATACGGCCACCAAAGAGTTCTGCACTCTCTCTGCGTCTCTTCTCGATGCTGACCTCGAGACCGTCGCTGCACAACTCGCAGTCGAAACTGCGACTGCCAGAGGGGCTCGGGTAGAGGACTATATGTCGCCGAAAAAGGGCGGTCCCAGCGGTCATTTGCGACAAATACGCACCCTTGTACATGCGCGGACATGCGTTCCTGCACGGAATCCGTGCGGGACTCTTCCAAATCCGGCGATATATAGTCCTCCACCCAAGGGGCTCTCTGGCCTCGCAGCGCTCGTTCATGTCACCGTCCATCCCCGTCCGTCCGTCCATTTGAGCCGTTCTCCGGTTCTACGGGACTGACAGCTCGGCACTATCGGCTGGGGTGCGGTGCAACGAGCGAGAGAGCGGGGAGACGAGACGAATGAAGAAGACACATGCATTCGGCTGGAGACGTGCCAGCCGGGCCCAACATCACGCACAAGCGCCACAACGCAAAGAACGCGCAGCTAACGTATGCAAACACGACGAGTAATAACAGATATAATTTCAGCTTTCTAAAATCAGCTAACTCAGAAGTGAAATGTTCTTTCAGAAAAAGTATGTAGAGATGAATATCAAGCAAAATAATTGAAGAAAGATGGATCATTTCACGATTTCATCGAGTAGGTATACTCCATACAGAATTAACACAGAATAGATCACAATCCTTTTTTATGTTATTCAAGATCTTTTTTACAAGCCATTCTCATCTTAATTTTTCTTGCAACTCTTCATATCATTTAAGTCATGCTCTTCTCCGATTGAAACCATCCCGACGCTTACACTCCTATCTCACACGACATGCTGCTGTTGAGGTCGTTGTTTGGGGTGCACAAAGCGCTCTGCAGGGTCACTAAGGATTACTCAGTGCGTACATTGATAGCACATCCATGAACAAGTGATTATAAATAGTCTAAGAAATAATTCCGAAGTATGCTTTTTCACAAAAGAAGAAAAAATGCCATCCCGGGGACAGCCTCAGACCAAGGAAGTCACAGACTAAAAAAAAGATCCCCTTCACAGACAGCTGTCAATAAGCATGACGTTAGAAGTGAAGCGTTACGGTTCACAAACTTGGTCTTCGTGTCTCATCCACTTTTGGAGAACCTCGAAGCATGAGGCGTGTTTTATATGAGAAAAGTGTCATCAGTCGACAACTGTCCACTCAATGCCATGCAATTTCAAAACATTTCACTTATAAGAACTTCGCAACAACATCCAGCAGAGGCACGCTAATCCGCCAACGCGGCAAAAAGTATGAACGAAGCGAACGCAATAAAAAGAAGACAACACTGCTAGCGAACGACTCTCATAGAGAAAAATAAGCTGATGGTGAATCCAAGAGCTGCCAGGGAACAGGTAAGATAGTCTAGCATTTACAAGTATTTAGCTAAATGTATACATGGATTACATATGCAGTTGCATGGAATTCGGAAGACATTATCATGAAGTTTTAACCCATTGACGACGATGTGAGCCACCGGTGGCGCACACCTCTTGCAAAGTCATAATCTTTGAAGGTCTAGTATCTTTTCCATATATTGATATTTCTTCTAACTTTTTGCACTCTTGGAACCTGTAGGCCCAGTCGCTCAAGAGAATGTTTATAGTTGTTTACAAATATAAACCTTGCATTTCGTAAATAACCATAAAACTCGTCACAAAGCGCCGCATACAAAATTAGGCATCGTCGTCAATGGGTTAAGTATTCAAATGTTACCGAAAATCATGCGAAAGTGCATCTAAAAATGGAAAGCTAGGCGCGGAATTGCAATCATAAGTATGAACTAGGATTAAAAGGTATCAAAAGATTTTGGGGTATGAATGGTAGTTTCCCAAAAAATCCAAAGACTTCGGACTTTTCGAGACTCACTTAAAAATACGAAAAACAGAACAAAAGAAAACCGACGTTGCGCAAGATGCCCCAAAGATTTCAACATCGTAAATTATCTTCAAAGAATTCCGCTACAACTAATAGAATATCGGACGAAGGGGGACTCAGTGGAGAGTCAACGGCATAGATCCGCATAATCTTCTTTTCTGGTTTCAAAAAATATTACTTTGTTTTCAAAAGAAGACATTGTTCAGGAATCTATAATTTAGTACCATGTAAGGATATTGACACCACCAGATATAAACGTGAAAAAATGATTAAAAACAAACAATAGTTGATTCTCACAAAACGAAAAGCAACACATTCGCGACTTTTACATCTTCACATGAAGTGTGCGACAAGCTCACTGAACTGGCACTTACTAATAACGCCATACCATGACAGAAAAAAAACAGCTGTTTGCGCAATACGACCACGGCGATGATGGCAGATGGCAGACGTTCACAAACAAAAAACCAAAAATGCACAAAAAAGAGGTGAAAACACGGGAAAAAGAGAAAGCACTCACTGTAGTCGCCAAAACGTCATTTTCAGCTGTGGCGCAGATTTGACTGATCATCGGATCATTTGAAGGCGTTCCATGTTCGACACATGCCATTAACCAATAATGAATCGAACATGACAGATCCGGGTAAAGAAATGCTTTGGGGACGAACTTTGCGTGCGAGTCAATCAAGTGTGCTTATAAAAACTCTATAAAAAGAGAAAATACTGACTCCCAAAATCATTTCTTGCAGGTATCTCCGAGTTAAATCCGATGAACATGTACACCAAGAAACGAAACCAGCCTTCGAACACAACTGCCTCCGACGACGGCAAGAGCGTAAATGAAAATTGCTGCGGAAGCGGTGCTACTGCAATGCAACATGTCACAACATGTTGGCGCGGCTAAAATGTTCTGTCAACATGTTGTGGCATGTTGCAAACATGTTACAACCACGTTGCCAACATGTTACCATGTTAGCTGGATGGCGAGATCGCGACTCCCGGCTTTCTCCCGCTTCATTTTTTGTGTCGGGATTGTCCCGAAATTCGGGACAAAACCGGGAGTCGCGCAAGACTCCCGGTTTTCTCGCGAAATCTCATTTTGTGGGCGGATCTCCGGCGGGACTTAACTGCGAATGTCTGAGTTTGCCCCATTCTAAAATGGACTTTTGACGTCATCTTCCGCGAGCGATAGCTCAAGTAAGCTTGAATCATTTTCATTTCACCGCTTTGCCTCGCGGTTGCGATGGGATGAAAAATTTTGGTTATCGTAAGTGAAAGCCGATTTCGACCACTTTCTAACGCGAAAGAATAAAATGGACTAAGTAAGTCCATTTTCCTCCATTATGGACTTTCGTGGATATGGGTCCTGGATATCCGACTTTGAAGTGTGAAATCAGTCTATAATAGAACATCTCAGGCATGATTGTCTCAGTGACCTCACATCTTATGACTAGTTCTAGTTCACACGCAATTTCGACCGTGTTACAGATCGATTTTGTTGAGGATAGCAGTTTTTGGAAGCAAAATAAAAGAATTTTGATATTTAAAGCAAATTCGATAAAATATAATGCAGTGTGATTTTCCTGAAATCTGAAAAATTTTGTGTGATATGACCGCATAATTGCAAAACGAGTGACATCTGATTGTGCGAAACATTACCAAATGTGGTGACGTCAAGTTATTGAAAATAGTTTGCTTGTGTCAAAATTCGCCTATAATGCTTTTTTGGATTCTCGTCGAAGTGAAATCTGTTTTTAGCTATGATTAGGGTTTAAAACTTACTTTTCCGATGAAAGAGATAATCATGTTGGTCATTTCAGCAATAATAATAATATTTTTCGATAAGCTGACTTTTTTGAACTAAACTTGAGAGTACACACTAAAGAATATTCAATATGGTGACAGATGTGAGTAAAGAAAAACACTTTTCCAAGCATTTACGAAACAATTTCCTCATACTTACAATGAGAATTCGATTTGGACAAACCTGCCAGGAACAAATAACTGAAATACATTGAAAAAAGCTTGCGAACTAATTTATAATGAAAAATGATCTGAAAACTAATTTTCAATTGAATTGAAATTTTGAAATCTACTGTTATCCAGAATGGAACCAACTGAAGAAGCATGAACGAAATATTAGAGAGTTTTCCAATAGTTGAACGCATTCCTAGGCTAATTAACAAGGGGGCGGAGCGATCAGCGCATCGCGTATGGTACCCAGCTGGCGGCGGCACATGCTATCGTTCATAAAGTCATACACCCGTGTTTAGACGATGCCCCTGCTCATACAAGTCTTTATGAACTAACAAAACGAAGACCAGAGCAAGGGAATCAAACCTGGTAGCTTCTGCCTGCAAGGCCACCATACTAACCATTATACCGGACAGCATACAGCAGTGTTCTA